CTGAAGTGGTTGGATATCAGGGCTGAACAGCGAGGCAGACCATCAGTTTATTAGCCTTGTAGGCAGATCTTCAGTGTGAGTTCTTGCTCAGCAAGGCATTTTTTTAGTTTGTGATGGCTGGTGATGGGGGAAAATGTATGCATTTGCTTTAACCTTAGGCTTGGGCAAGCTTTCTTGAGGAGAGCAGGCTTCCTGCCAGTCAGGCAACGTACATGCAGTTGGTGGGAGGTCTGAGAAAATCTCTTAGACTGACTTGTGGCTCTGTTGTACAACTGAGATATTAAGTGCATTTTCTTTATCTTCTGTAAAGCATGTATTCATGAATACCATTGACAAAAGGAGCTGATAAGGAGTTGGGTTATGTTATGGTATTCATCTTATTCCACAACAAACGTGACAGCACTGGTACCTGCAGCATCCTGGAGCTATTACAGGGCCTTGTCTGCAAGGAAGTATACAGAGAACTTGACCTACATGAGTAGTCCCATGGGCCTTTTTCCTCCTTTTCTCAACCCATGGATGCTGTACACAGAACAAGGTTATGATTATGTATTTGTTAAGGTTGTAACTGTTGCAGTGTACCATAGATTCAGCGTGGTTGCCTCTGTGTGTAAACTGAAACGCAAACACAGAAGAAGGAGGGGCGTTACTTAGCGCTAATGTGGGTTCTTGGTTCTCTTTATCTGCAACCTAATTTTGCAAAGACTCTGTGCAAATGCAGTTTTATTGGGAAGAGGAGTCATGCCTGCAAGAGAACAGGTTTATTTACAGTACCAAAATGCATATATGTGACTTCCTTTTGTATTGAAAAATGCTATGTATTTCTCAAAGACATCATTATTTCTTATCTGACTAAATATCTCGAAAACATTCCTCTTTTGATTTTGAATCTCTGCAGAGTAATGTAAATTTTAAGTGTCTGTTTGTGATGGACAATCTTGGTACAACTATTTTTTGCTGGTTAATAATCAGACCAAAGATTAAACTGAAGTGTTCAGCTGCTATTGTTTTTTTTTTAAAAAAAAAGTGTTTATAGGCTCAAAGTGTCAGCCCATTTTAATGAAACGTTTATAAATTCATTTCCTATTTAATGTCAAAATACATTTGCACTTTTATTGTTTCCATAAAAAATTGGTGGTTTTGTTTTAATATTTCACTATAGTAATAAACAGCTGTTCTAAAGCGTCTGTGCCTCAAAATTTAAATTCCTTGTTATCTTTTTTTCAGTGAAGGCTACCTGAAGCCACAAAACTGTGATCGGCAGGTTTATATGCTCTTTAGGAGGAGACTACTACTGAAGTGGCAAAGCCATGGGAAAGCAGGAAGTCCACGCCTTAGGAGTTGTGCAGAGGGATACGGGAGGAGAGCCAGGAGAGAGACCAGAGCGTGGCTGGCACTCTCTGGTTTTGCTTTTGAAATGGAGCACATTGGGGTTTGTGGCTTTCTTGCTCAGAGGTTAAGAAGGCATCAGTTCTTGTTTCCCTGGCTCCAGTTTCGGGTTGCTGCATAAACTCTGCTTTTTCTAGTGTTTAATGAAGAGCTAGGACTTCATTTCACAGTATCTGTGTGAGCTTTTCAGCGTGGTACGTATAGACACGTCTCCGTTCCAAACCACATAGGTCGTGCTTTATTAAATATGGAAAAAGTCCCCTTTATTAGTCTTTGGTGAGATGCCAGAACTATACACTCATGGCTTGTGCTGATGTTCCCTATTAAAGAATGAAATAACAGCAAGACCCCTAGCTTTTTAATCATTAAATCAAAGCTAGGCTGAAAATAACTATCTCCGGGTCTTACTTGAAGGGAGTAGCTTCTGTAAGAGGGGCAGCAGTCGCTGGTACAGTGCTGAGGCAGCCCAGCTGGCCAACGGACTCCTCGCTGGCAAAGACTGGAGGAATGTCGTTCCTTCAGTGTCAACAGTCTGTCACCCAAGTCAGCATGGAGGAAGTGTATTTAGATCTTTTGCTTCTTTAATAGCATTATTTCATATTAATGGCTTCCTTTAAAAGCAATAACCATCCTCTGGTCTCCATTCATTCCTTACTCTGAAATATTTCTCTGTTTGAAGCCTGAGTTTCTATTCAACAGAAAATCATTAAAGAAACATAGGAGTTTCCTTTTGTGATAAATCTGTTAACAAAAAATTAACTGGCCTAAGGACTTGTATGCTTGGTGTTTGAAGAAAAGTCTGTTTGCATCCAACTCATTGCAGAAATTGTTTAAAATCTTTCCATCCCTGTGCAAATACCTCCCTTGTAACGCAGCCAAGGTCAGTAGCGAATTGCTGATTAAGTACTGCTAAAGCAGGTTAAAGCTGCCTGGAGGGGAAGGGACTCGTATTTGTGCATACTGTTTTCACAAGGCTCCTAAAGAGTTCAGACACAAGAAGTTTGCTTTTCTAGGCTGGTTTATTTCCTGTGCCACCTCTTTACATGTCTGCCTGGTGAGTCTTCCCTGAGGTAAGTGACATTCTGACTGATTATAATTAATTTGAGTAGCTGGCAGAAAAGCAGCCAGCCCCGCTGTCATTGGGCCGATAGCACTGGGAAGCTGGTGGCTGACGTAGGGGCAAGGACCTGCACCCCTTTAAGCACGTGGATTCACCTTCAGCGCCTGCTGATGCGTTGGAGCATAGTGCTCTGCTTACTTGGGGGGTCTGAGTAGCTCACAACTCCAAAATAAGCAGGATATGGAGGGATGACTGTACATAGATCTGCTTGTACGTTACATTACCATCATGGGTTTCTCAAATGTACGGTATGCCTAATTAACCTGTGCTCTCATATGCGTGCCTGCAACGTCCTATTTTAAACGTCTAACCAAAATTGGCATATTTGCAACTCCTTTATGAGAGATGCAAAGCACCGTAATACGCGATCAGCAACAGAGCTATAGATAACGTCTGTGCTGTATCTGTGCGACAGTCTGTTAGGATTCAAATGACGATTTACATGCAAAACTCTTAAGGGTTGCTACAAACACATATGCATCAAATGTCACCGTGTACCAGTCTTCTGTGGTGAGCCCTATTTTTTCCCCTTAAAGGATAGCAATGCCGATTCAGAGACTCAGAAATCTGTGTACTCAAGTTACAGGCATGCATTTCTTGAAACCCCTGGGAATTTTTTTTCCCTTAAAACCAGGACCAAAGCTGTATGCAGAATAATCAGTTCTTGGGGCTGGACAGGATGTAATAAGGGTTTGTGAGCGTTTTCGTGATACTTGTGATCCTCTATAGGCTTCTATCCATGCCACAAAGGGTGGGAAAATAAAAAAGGGAGGTAAGCAAGAAGACTGGAGTGAGGGGAATTATGCTGTGGATGTTACTAGCTACCAAATTAAGGATGAAAAATTACCCTTGTAATGGATTTCTACCGGAGAAAGGAAGAGGTGCTTTGAAGTGTCTTGCTGTTCTGATAGAAACCTGCTAGCTGTAGAAACAGAGGAAGAACAGTAGTGAAATCCAACAAGATAACCCGCTTCTCCACCGCTAGTTCAGTCGCTCCTTTCCAGTTTCAAGTAGGGAAGAGAAACTCGGAGCTGAATTCACTGGCCAATTAGCGTGCTTACTAGCCACACTTCAGGGGAGGGCAAGGAAAAGAGCAACTCTTGCCTCACTCTTCCAAAGTTTTTATTCTGTGCCGAATTAAAATGCTGAAATACAATGCTCCCATCAAGGGAGGGAGTGCTTGGGAACCATCTGCAAAATTTGTCTCCTCTGCTATCCCAGATGACAGTCTGGGATCACTGGTTTTAAAGAGAAGTCCCGGGCAAAATTCAGCTAGGTTTACGTATGCTGGAAACTGATTTTCCCAATTCCTGTCGGCATGGCGCAGGGAGCCGTTCCACTGCCTGTGCAAGCAAAGCGCCGGAGCAGCAGCTACAGAGGAAATGACTCATTCCTCTATTTCTGTTGCAAAAGACTTCTCTGTGCTGTACAATGCATGTAGGAATATATTCTTATGGATGCTTGGAAATTCGCCTCCTAGGACCACCTTTGTGCTTACAAATATCAGTGTATTAACAGGCATGTTCTAGGCTTCACTTGATGTTAAATAGGATGTGCAGGCTTGGCTTCTGCTGGATGGTGTTGCCCAGGGTCTTCCTCGAGCTGGTATTTCATGCCGCTGTCAGCCCTGGGTCTGTCTGCTGGTGCAGGGGGTTGTATGAGGGTATTAGCGTGTCTTCTGAGCATCTTACTTTGTCACACATGCTTGGAGGCTTGTTTAAGTGTGTTTCAAAAAGAAGAAACTCACTAGTCATAAGGATCGTGAATCACGGGCACTTCTCCAAAAAGTATTTCTGTATGAAGCCTGTGAGTGTTTTCTCAGAAGCTATTTGAGCTCACCAGCCTTTCAGACCCTACCAAAACTAATGACATCTCCTGAATATTAAAAAAAAAAAAAATTTGAAAGAAAAAAAAGGGGGGATGGGTGGGAGAAGAATAGCAGTAGACTCACTAACCAATAAACCCACTTCTCCCCTTTATTTCAGTGTGGTGTTTTCCAGACTGCTTCAACCAGACATTAGACTGGGATGGCTGGTTTACGAGGCACAGTGCGTATGAGGCGTTACCTGGTAAGAGAGCATCAGTCCCTCTCTGTCTCCTCACTGCTGCCCCAGCAGGTGGATAACTAAATAAAGTAAGACTGGCACTCAGCTGTAACTTCTGCTGCGAGAGCGCAGGACATCTTGGTAAGAATTTGGCAAATTGTCTGTTTTCAAATCTTGCAGGAGTCTAACTTGTTCAGGAACAAAGCAAGTCTTGGACGAAGCTTTGTGTATGCCTATGGATGAGTTTCTTCTAACAGTCTGCTCATCCCTTGGCTCCTTGAGTGGCTGCCTACCTTGAAGTGCAGGGTCTTTGGGATGTCCTGCATGCCTCCACCTGGCTGAGAGCAGCAATTCCAGCAGAGCAGCAGCAATGCATGGGGTGAACCCATCTGCCTCATGGCATTTATCCCTCACATTTTACAAGTGCTCCTTAAAACGTTCCTACTTTCAGTATAAAGACATGGTGGGTGCCGGAGGGAGAGACACTGATAGCAAAACATGCTGACTTGTGTTGTTTTCTCCTTGGAAATGCTAGTAGTACTCAAAGAAACTGCTAATCGCTAATCCAGAGCTTGTGTGAGCAGCGGTGTTTTAAACTTGCCTCTTGAAATCATTCTCATTACCCAAAACGTTTATAGGGGCACATAACGAGCTTTCAACACTCAAATAATTCCTCAAGGAAGAATCGTTATGGTCTTCCAGAATGATCCCTGTGTTAAGTGGCAGTTAAGAGCTAATTATAATGAGATGCTGTGGGATGAAATTAGTATCCAGCTTAGACCAACAACAGAAACATCCATGTAGATAAACTGGAGGGGAGATGGTGGGAGAAGGGAAAGTAGGGAACGCAGCAGCTACACTGCACAGAGGGGCAGGTGCATCACCCGGGAGCTCATCGGGAGAGTCAACCCTCAATGGAAAACACCATGGCTTTTCTGAGGGCTAAGTCTGGGATATGCATGAACTTCAGCCAAAGCTTTCAGGGCTTGTAGCTTTTCTGGAAGAAGATGTGGTTTGAGCGCTGCTTTCTGCCTTCTGAAATGTCAGCTGGTGAAAGCGCTGTTCACCCGTCTCCGGCAGCTGAAGGGATGCAACATCTGCTACCTCAAAAAGGGCCATTTTAGTGGTGAAACTTATCTCTTTGGCCGATAAAGACCTCTCTAATGAGACTTTCATATCAAAGGGGTGTGGGAGCGCAACAGTTTTGAGTGTCTATTTGCCTGACTGCCATTGGAGTAGCTGCGTGTGAAGTGCACAGGTATTTTATTTGAATAAAAATTCTTGCTCTCAGTGGTTAGCAAACACAGCTGCCCTGGAAACCCGCAAGTTGCAGAGCAGAAGTTAATTTTGGGTGGATAGTGTGCTGCTCTGATTGAACACAAGACCCTGCACGTACCAGGATATGCTGTCCTGGCCGCTCTGGCACGTCTTTGCCCCTCTAGAGCAACTAGGGTTTGTTTTCAGCAGATTTCCCCTCTCCGTGATGGGTGCGGGCTTGCAGAGGAGGCAGGCCCTTGCAGCGAAGGGAGCAGACGGATAACTCCCTTCTCTGTCCTGCACAGTATTTTCATAACCTTTTAATGGCATCCCGGCAGAACGGGGACAGGATGGCGACCGCACGCTGGCCACAGCCACTCTGCTTCTTACAGTGGGGGAGGAGGCCAGGAGGAGATAAGGTTTATTTTTTTCCCCTTTTCTGCTTAGAAACTTATTTGCATTGCTAATGAGGTTCCCAGTTCAACATCATAAAAGGGGTACCACAGAGAGGGGGACAAGTAAGCTTCCTCCCTTGGGAAAGGGCTAAAGCAGTCCTTGACTCTTATAAACTGCTTTTCTGAGGTCCGTGGGCATGCAGTTTGTCACCGTGATGGCAGGTGATACTGGCTGAGTTACTGGTGCAGTGGGATCAGGCGGCAGATAGAGCTGGACCCACACCAGGACACTGCTCAGGAACACAGACATCTTCCCTGATGGCATCGCTTGATCAGCTGCAAGTTGCTGGGCACAATATGTGGGGAGGAACGTACTGTGCTGCTCCCTGCGTAACATAGGGCGCAAACCCGAGAGCAAACGTGTTACCAGCTAATCTACAAGAACAGGTTTCTTCAGCCACATGTCCAGGGGAACACCCAGCAGCAAGGATGAATTTTATAATCTGGATTTGAGCAGCTCCTGCAGACTTTTGCATATGAGGTTGGCTCGGTGTGTGATGAAGAGAGATTTGCGTTCCAGGTACAGCTCTGAGTCTGTACAGTGGAGAGCACGGTGTGTTGTTCTGTGAAGTGATTTTGGTTTCCACTGATGTCCAGAGAAGAGATTCCTCATGAGAAGGAAATTTTAATGCAGAAAGGCCTTGGTTCATTTATATTGGTTGTATTTATCTGGATTTACAGACTTCCTCTACAGTAGGGCTATGTCCTGGTGAAAACACTGCAGGGTAAATGCGTAAGAATGGGGCATAGGGAGGAAAAAAAATGAACAGAATCAGACAGGTGAAACCAAGGTCCCTATGAAGCAGAAATATTCAGTAATTCCATGTATTTCTTAGCTATAGCACTGCAGTGCTTTAGAATGCAAATTACCCCTTTAACCCACCCAGTTTAGCTCTTCTTGGGTAATACAGTATTTTGCACATCTGCTTAATGAGATGGGAAAACCAGATGTAACGGTCGCTGCTGCTGCGAGGGGACGATTGGAAAAGGAGCCTTTTGAACCTGTTGAATTCTGAAGTCGATACGGGCATGTTTTTGCAAATGATGATTTGGTATTTGCAGCTGAATGCTCCTAAATTCGTCCCTGTAGCTATTCCTTCACAGCTCAGAAGTGGGGTTTATTGCTGTTGATACTGTTTTTACCAAAAGCTTTAAGCAATCTCTATTTTTCTGTTTTGGTAATTTGTTTCATAGTTTAAAGGCTTTTCTCTTACCAGCCATATTTAAACAGGTTTTGGATAACTTCTGCTACATTTTACAGCTGCACAGCCCCAGGGCTCCGTTAGAAAGCCTTGCTGAGTTAGTGGAAGAAAGTGTGCTTGACCACATCTGTTTCTCTGTTAACTTACTTTGGGCCTTTAGGCCACTGCTGGAAAGGAGAAAACTGTAAATGCCAATTCCTCCCCCTCCTCTTTCTAGGTTTGCTATAGTTTTTCATATTCATATGAATAGGAAAGGAATATTTAAAATTATGACTTATTAAATTAGTGTGAATCAAACAGAAAGAGCCATAGCAGAGTTACTCGAACAAGTTCCAGAGGATGAGACTGTTCCTCTAAAATAAATCATCCATGAGTTTGTAATGCAACCAAAACCCTCAGCATGCATCTTACTATTTTATCCTTGAGTCTCGGGGAGACAACCTTGGGTGAGTGTGAGACCAAGTTTGCCTTATGCTATAAAGTCCCACACTTGGACCTCTTTAGAAGACATCCTCTGGCTTTTTAAGATGGGCACTTGAGGTAGTGTGAGCATCTTTATCTCTAAAGTTGTGTCACCTTGGAGACCTGGGTTCTGTCCCCCATTTGCTCGGCCCCCCTCGCTGGGGCCGTGCTGCATCCCCCCAGGCACTGGGAAGCCACCTCTGCAGCTCCCATCCAGCTCCTCTTGGTAGGAATGGCTCTCATGCTGCTGGATGTGTCTTCCCAAGAAATGGGGATAATGCTTCTCAGCTTTGGGAAGGCTGATGTTTCTTGTTTCTCAGTCATTAGATTAAAACAAATACTAAGTAGAAATTTTCTATAAAAATAGAGCTTGCTTCCTTAGGAATTTGCTTCAGTGGAGACTGTGAGATAGTCTCTCTCTAATGATTTATATGACAAAAATAGCTCTGTCCTATGTCTGCAAACAGTTAGAAATGTGAGCCTGGAAAAGAAATCTAGCAGCTAACTCCTCAGCCTTACAACTTGAATAAACCAGTCATAAACAAAATCAATTACAAAAGCAACTGAAAAACTGAACTTCCCTATAAATATAACGTTCTCTCCTCGGAAGTCTGAAAATACTCTGGGCTTTTTAGCATGACCCAAAGTGTACTGTATCCAAGCTTTTTTGGCCTAAAAGCAGGGAGTGAGTTCCAAAGCAGAAGAGTCCTGGCAGTGCCTTCTCCGGGGGACTCTCCTGCTGCCGAAATTGTACCGCGTCAGGAGGAACCCTGCAAGCGAGTCCCAGGCCAGAGAGGTCCCATCTTTATTGCAAAATGAGGTCGTTGAAAGAGCATGACCTCAAATTCATATTTAGACACGTGACCTAGCAGTCACCGCTTGCCTTCAACACTGTCGATGATGCTCAGCTCACACGTAGTGACACCGTGTGAAGCCACCGAGGGCTCTGCTATGGCGGGGCTAGAGCTGGGACATGGTCAGCATGTTGGAACCCAGTGTGACTTAACTGGGTGCTGATGGCTTCCTCCAGGGACAGGTTCCTTTGACCAGGAACTTGGATTCGAGTGCTCGATGCGATAATATGCGTTGCCTGCTTCCTCAGAGGCCGCATGCCCTTTGGCTGTGGTTTTTATCTCTGTTTACTATAGAAATAGCTTTAGTAGATTATGCTGCGTCATTCAGTTCCCTGCAAGAACGTATGTTACAGACGAAAGAGAAAGCGTCTGAGTGCAAGGGAGTAGCTGTCATTTTTATAGCACAGAGCAAGGCCATTATAAATTATGCGAGGCAATGAGGATCTGAGGATTTTAGATCAGATTTAGCCACTTTATCTGGAGACTTAAGAAAAGTGAAAAATGTGCTTTTACTGATATTGCCAATTAGGGAGCTGCCAGGTGGCCAGTTAATAATCCAGATGCGCTGCAGAAGACGCAGCATCAGCAAAGGCTGGTTCTGAAGCGAAGCAGAGGAGTGCTTTCCAGGGCACGGCGACAAGCTGGGGGAAAGCCGGCAGCTTCCTCCTGGCTACAGGCGTGAATCGGGTACGGGAGATGTGACAAGAGGGAGATCCTGGGGAAGGTAATGCCAAACCAGAAAGGGATAGGAGCTGAGGAAATTTGCAGAGAAGGATGTAATATAATACGGAAATGTAATACAAAGAACAGTTGGCTACTGAAAATGCAGAAGCCTGGGAAATGGTATCTTGGCTTCGAATCGGGCATATTCACAGGCATCCGTGGAGTTGATGGGCTAATTTAGAGACGGTTGAGACCAAAGGCTGGATGAGTCATGGAAATGGGTTGTAGCACCTTCCCCTTTTGTCACTAGCTGGAATCTGTGTCTGTCACACTGATGTCAGCCCAGTTCCTGCTGGGAACTGCATCATCGCTGGCACAAGACCCACTGCTCTGACCCTCACATGTCTCAAGGGGCCAGAGCTTGGGAGGGAGGCACTGGGGGCCCAGGCTGCCTGCTGACCTCTGG